TTACAAATATACGCAAATTGTTGCAGTTTAAATAAGATGCAAAGCATACATTACAAGGTGCCAATAAAAATTAACCTTGAAGGAATTTCGACTAGTTTTACAACTGTTCTTTTGCCAACTCGCCTGTAAGTCTCCCAAATACTTAAAATTCTGCATCTGCTTCAAATGATGCACAACAGAATAAAAACCAAAAACGCTTACTTTATCGAAATGTATTATAAACGTAGACTTTATTTTAGGAGCATTTGTATATTTATGTTCTCTTGTGATACAAGCTGCAATCAGCGCTTATATTAATTATTATTACTGATGTAATATCTTGGAAAAACTACTACTTCATAGTGTAATAATATCGGAAAACCTTCATCTGTCTTATGTAAGACAAAATACTAGTTTTTGAAAACCTAAATGTTATTTAATCCCGGTCTTTCTAGAAAAAGTACATATAACTGTATGACAATTACAAGTATTTTCTATGTTTAAGTGTTTTTGTGGAAATATTGCAGAATTTTCTTCATATGACGTTATACATTTTTTGCTGAGAAGAAATTATTAACTAATCTTAAACTTAATCAATATCCAACAAATGAAAACCTATAACTAAAGTGCAAGCATTAGCATCTCAGGTCTAGTTTTCAATAAAGACTTGTTTAAAGAAATTTTTGAGATTGCGTCATCAACTTTCTAAAGGCAGTTAAATTATGTTAACATTTTGCACTCTAAATCAAAATATTCTGGAGTCGTTAAATTTTTAATATTGAACTTACTTAAAATCTAGAACAAGATTAATAACATTTAGTAGTGAGTGTAAAAATAAATTAAATACTACTCCTATTTATTTCGAAAAATAAAAAAAACTATACGATATGCAGTATGTATGTTGAAAAATCATTAAGTTGGTATTATTATTTTGACAGAAGAAAACGTAGCAAAAAACGCATTTGTTTTATTAATACCTACTGTTGTGTATAACTGAAATTTGACAGAGTTGTTAAAAAGCGTTAATTTTATTATACGAAAAAGTGTGATTAAGTTGTACCACTTGGATTTTTGACGTGGACTGCTAAAAGATAAATAACTTATTCGATATTCACATGTTTTGAAACTATTTGGCCGTCAGATAGGTACGTCATATTTTTTTGCAATTTTCAAAAGTAACTTTTATATCTTTCTTTAAAGTAAGCAGAGAAATATGGTTTCTGATTCAAGAAAATGGCAAAAACAAATAATATCAACGGACCATCGGAGAACAAGAACGTTACAGTCAATTTGATGTTTTTTAGTCTGTGCATTACCATGGAACGTATAGATGAAATTGGCCAAGGTTTACGACGTACAAATTCGACGTTGACACTATAGACAGTTGATTAGAATAGGTGAAACCAGAACAATTAATTTATTATGTATCGCATTTATTGTGATGAACAAATCGCCTGTAATGTTATTAAGGTTTATAATTTAAAAAACTAAATCAAAAAGGAGCCGTGTATTTTAGTAAAAAAACAACTCTGTCACGAAAATGGTATACTTATTTAAAACTATGTACATTATTATTTTTTATAAAGTTTAGTTAATGTTTTAGGGGCACATTGATATAAAATTATACTACAAACGTAAAAGATTTATTTAATGGTGCGGTGGAAATTACTGTCACTCTTATCAGATTTATAGTACAGTTACAGTTACATAATTTGATACCGCGAAAGTAGTGGTATGTGTATTCTGTCTTCTACAAAGCTAAATATAGTGCCACTAAATTTTTACTAGAATTGTGTGAGTAATCTATCTAATTTTTTTTTTTTTTAATTTTTATTTATTAATAAATAAGTGTACTACACAAATACACGCAACTGCCTAAAATATTTAATGATAGTTTTTTCGTATTAGTTCACAATATCATTAGGTCATAACTTTCGACAAGAAACATTTGACGCTTTATTTACTTTTATCCAGAACTAAGTCGTAAATTTGACAGAGCTTTAAATTTTCTTTGTGAAACCCACTCCTCATACTCGGCATTAATTGCTGCCTGTCAAAATAATGTATTCAGTCTGTAAATATCGTTTGCAGATCGATACATTGATGATATGCGAACAACTTTCATTGTGGTTTAGTTAAGACTTCAAAAACAAAATTAAAAATAGCAAACTTTCTCTAGCATGTTCGACAATCGCGATTTTAGGAAGAACTAACTACTGGTGGTGTAGATGGTCTTGGTACCGAAAGGATTAAGTCGGGGAAATCAGAGTGGTTTGGTATTCCCCTGAACGTGCACATCAATTTGGTGCAGTTGGATAAAGCATTTTTGAGAGTAACATTTTAGCAATGGCTATGGTCGATTCCTTGTAATTAAACTAAACATAAAAAGTTAGCAACTTTACACTTCATTAAGTTAATGCCAAATAAAACTTATTTAATTTTGCTTGCATAACCACACCATTAGTCGATAAAATAAAGTTAAATAATAATATTAATCTTATTTCGTTGTGTCAGCAACATGAGCTCGCATATTTTTGTTTCACCGCTATAGATAACCAAAGTTAACATTGTCATTACGTTACCATACGCAATTAATTTTGTTTGGCTCAAAAAAATAAATTCCTGTAATTTATAAATGACATATAAAATAAATGAGCTAAAAGGTTTAAGTTGCAGTAAAATTATAATTCAGATGTTGTAAACGTATAGCAGAACAGCAAAAAAATGTGACATAAAAGAACTTCACAAATTGAAGACAAGGAAGACAAACAAGTAATGTTCTTTCAATAGTAATGATGAAGTTCGCCAGTTGTAAGATTCATCGTGTACGTGAAAATTCTATCCGTAGTTTAGCCTTGGATGGGTGACCAACTAGGCTCTGATCGCCCGTCCGTCTGTACGTCTGTGATAAAAAAGAAATCATAGTGGTTAATATTAATAATATTGTTGAAAGTTTTTTCAAAAATATTTCATATTTATAATGTGGGTTGTTCCGATTTAAAGTTAATTTTTAATTTTTTTAGAGTAGGTGTGTCCATTGTGTTGTATTTTTAGACTCTCATGGCTTTGTTATCTCTGTCAAATGCATTCACGACAAGACGTGAATTAAAAGTCCTCTGTACAAAGAATCGTCAATGCTCTAAATTTACATTGTAAATTTGACCTCGTTTTAGGATGTGAATGTAAAGAAAAACCACTTGGAACTAAGAGACTATACTTTTTAAAAGAAATTATGCTCAAAATTTTGTTGGAAATGAAGAATTTTGAACCAGTATTTTTATATTGGAGTTCATTTACAGACAAAACAATGTTAAAATGTATACTTTTTCCAAAAGAAGTAGGAATAGGTCGTTTGTCAATAAGGTTGGTAACTTCCAGATGGATAGTATAAAACAAGAAAAGTATAAATGATTAAAATTTAATTGAAAACGAGTGCTTAGTGTGAGTATTAGACAGTTACGGTTTACTGTAAAAAAACACAGATAGCAGTTGTAAAATGCATGACAAAACTGACTAAAACTTCTCTACACTGTGTAAACTCGAATTTAAAGTTAAAAATATCTTGTCCGTACGTTTGTTTACTTCAAATCACACTTTTAAAGTGCAAATCCGACTACAATTGTTTATATATGAATTTAAATAGTAATGCAGCAATGACAGTAGTAGGTACGCGTCCAAGTAAATAATTACACAGCTAAGCTAATAGCAATAGAAGCTTGACAGTGATTTGTTTTTGACATTTATGCATTATTACTAACTAAATGGGAAAAAATCAAATTTATATCATCCTTAAAACCCGCAATAATGATTTCTTTGTCCCGTTTTTGAGCAGATTACAAAGTGTGTGAAGTCTGTCATGATTGAATCATTGGAAAGCATTCTAAACATTCACTATTATTGTTTTACAACAAATGTAAAGGTAAAAAATCAGTTTCAAATTATAGGTAATTGATTGTTATGCGTGTTACAAAATGAAAAATATTGTAATTTGTTACCAGCTGTAGGTGCATTTGACATCTAAACATTACGTGCTATTTCCTATTAGCAACTAGCTGGTATGTACATGACTACCTGCCTATCAATTTGTTTGTAATATCGACTGCCGGCCCTGCAGGTGCGTGGAAATATGCCATAGATTGATAGTAACATTTTTAGAATATCTGTTTATATTTGTGTGTAATTCCAAGTAAATTGTTTTATCTAAGAACACGAGCATCTGGGAAAATTTAACAAAAATAAAAGTGATTAGTATTTTCTTCGAAATCGTGTGTAGTGTTTCCTGCAAAGTTTCATTTTATCAACAGTGTAGTCAGATCTGAGAATCTGTGATTCTCAAGCATCAATACTCTATTGAAAGCTTGTGTGGAATAAAAAGCTCTCAAAAAGTGCATGTAACGAAAGGATCATTCAAGATTTATAAATAACCTAAAACAAATATAAACATGATTAATTAAATGCAAATTTTAAATAGTCGACGATCTTAAATTTAGTATTTATCACAAGATTTTTGTGCTCAAGTAAACAAGTAAGGATAAGACCGTCTCTATCTCCAGGAAGACATACAATGTTTTAATAAACGTATCCCTGAAATATCTGTTATTATGATAAAACCCGTTTGTAGTTTGAAGTAAAATATATGTAATTACAATTTCACAATATCACATTTGGATGAGTGTACGTTGTTATTATTGCACAGTGCAAATAAACTTTCGCCTCATCATCTGTAAACCACATTTGTTGAAACGAGTGTAATATCAAGTAATAAATTATCTATGATCTTGAACCACAGCTTCAAGGACTTTTTTTGCATAGATATTTGCATAAATTGTTTTAAAATACGGCCATTGTTCCAATTAGCATAAAATTACTATAGTGGATACTTTGATTTCTGTTTGCCATGTAGCAAAACATGGTACGTCACACCTAGATTGTACTTTTGTAAACAAGATTCATAAAAACTTGTCAAGTTCAAGGCTTTAGTCTATTCTGTTTACATATGTATAATGTTTTTTCTTTTGCAGTTGAAAGCCCGTTCGGTGCGAACATGGCGTCATAGTGGAGACCATGGTGGTGAGCTTTCCGTATTTTGCTGGTGAGAAGAGCTTAAAGGGCGGTCACCCTCGCCCTGTGAATTGTCAAAAACTCCATGTATGAGCAGTTTACCAGCATTATGGCCCGATCATTCTTCAAACGAATAAAAGTGCTGTTTCGTCAAATTTGGTCAGTAAATAATGGGAATTTTTAATAACGTGACACAGTGGTGGCCTGTAAACTTAGTGCTTGTATTTATGACTGTAAATAATTTAAATCAAATCACCTGAAGTTCAATGTGGTACATCTACATGGTCTGAATAAAATTGACTCTCAATTGCACTACAACTTACAGCACAAAATTTGTATGGCATTACTATCATTTTTGTACTAAATAGACTCTTGGATACTGAAGATTATCGCCTGTGAAGCGGCCTTTCTCTTAATTGCTATAGACTCGCATAATTTTGCCTAATTTACCGAGGAATACATAAAACAAATTTGGACAATATACTTGATTTGTATGTAGAAAACAGCGCTACAATCTTCAGTAACATCAATGTTGTAATAAACCATAGTTGTAAAGGAATATTTAGAGGGAGGAATTTTTATAAATTCGAGATGGTGGTTGGTCCAGATTGATACACAATTCAATAATTTGGAATGTTTCTTGTTACCAACCTCCACTATATAAAAGGGATTTCGGTAGCTCATACATATAAATACATAATAACAAAACTTGGTGTTTATAAAAATTGTAAGGTTCCCAGGCCTACAGACTAGGTTTTTTGACTTGTGAAAAGTTGTGTTGTATATTTTTATGTACCTATGTAAGAAGTTTAAAGTTGAAAGTGTTTTCAATGTACAAAATTATATTTCGGCCAAAATGAATAAAATCTACATTTATTACGAATTTATATTGTAGATATTGTGAGAAAATTTTCGTGCAATTTACAAAATGATGTCGACTTTTTTGTACATATAGAATTTTAAATCTGTGCATTTAAGAAAAATGTCGCATTATATAAAAACAAAAGTTTAGAGAAATGTGCTTTGAGATTGTTTGTACATAACAACAGTTGTTTTTATATAATGTTAATTACTGCAATATTTTTACACAGTAGTTAAATGTCTGTAATAGATTTAGTTTGTCTTAAGGGAGATGCGTAATAGTTTCGTTGTAGTAATCTAATGCTAATTTTAAAAGTTTGGTTTGAAGAAATAAGTTGCCTTTATTAGAAAAAAAATTACTGTGCATATTACTGCCATTTGGAAATTTTCGAAATTTCAACTACGAACGAAACTTTTAAAGTTGGTTAGTTGCTATGAGATTTTATACTTTTAGGATTTATTTTAAGCCATGTTGTTGCCATATTACCGCTTACTGAACTTTAACTGGCCACGAAAGTAGAAAACAACAATGCTGCCGAACAACTGCCCTTGTTGTTGAAGGAATAACAAACAACAACTCGCTATCAATGGTAACTGCCATCAAACTAAAGTTGCGCGGTGGATTGGTGAAATCAAAATTAATTTAAAAGTGGGTGTTGATTTTGAACTTAAAAAATCTTGTTTTTAAATATTAGGGGTAAAGATAGTAGGACTTTTAACAAATTGAAAGACTTTTTTTAAATTGTGTGTGAGTGAATTGTGTTTTGTAAAACGGATACGCTGCGATTTTGTAGGAATGGAAAAAACTGAATTTGTCAAAAAATGTATAATCTGAGTAGATACTACTATAGGGTGTGCATAGAACATATAAATTTTTTTTATATAAAACAATCTTGTGTGTAGGGTAAAATTATAACATATTATTTAAAGATATTACCCATTTTTGTAAACATGAATGTTGCACGACATACAAAGGTCTATTATTTTTTGTTAAATTTGGAAAATATAAAGAGCTCGAATTTAATTTTGTGTGATTTTTGAGATCTACTAAGTTTTATTGTACCTATGAAATGGGTAATAAATTACATATAAAAAACCAGTGATATGTTTTAAGTATTTTTGCACCATTACGTGCAGTTGTGAGTAAACATTATTCTTGTGATACAAGCTAATAGCCATATAGAAAATAATTATTACAAAAAAATATTTCTTTTACTTTCTATATGACTATTTTTGCACGTTGTAATACTTAGTTGCAATACACATATTATAAGTTTATTGATTTTTAATAACTAACAAAAAATTACCCAATAAAAATATTTTTTATCATCGAATTTAATGGAATTATTGCTCTCCTGGTTTGTCAAGTCGACCGAGGTCATCATTTTTTGTTTTTTCCTGTCATTTGAAAAGTCAAAAATTACTCATAAATATAGGTTCAAGAATGGCGTATTCTATGTTTGAACGTCCCAAATTACATAATGCAAAGTCCTTAAAATTTTACCCAGAAGAATACGTAATTCCATTTTATTAACTAAGCTGCAACATATTACTTTCCTCTTCTTTAAGGATCACCATGTTTCGTTTCGGCATAAAAATTTACCCCCAGATTTTGAATTGACGGTGGAAAATTACAGCAATCATCAGGTTAGTCATATTAAGGACAAAGATAAAGGAAATTACTCAATTCAAGCGCAAAGTTCAACACATAAGAAGTGTCCAATCTACATTCACAATTTCACTAAAGTGCATCACAACGATGGTGATTTCGTTCCAAAGAACGGCAAAAAAATTCAAAATAAAAAAAAATCAGTAATGGATAAACTCGAAGAAACCTATTGGGCGAACTGGAAACCTGACAAAACTGAATTGAAAAAGTCAATGTCTCCTCTATTACCAATGAAAATTCCAAAAACTCCAGAAATTCAAGTTATAAAGAGCGCTCCCGAAAGACGGAAAAAAATTAAAGTGTATCCACCATCAGACGACAGTGTTCCAAAGGACCAAGCAGAAAAGAAAGAGAAAAATAAAAAGATATCTAGCAAATCTCAAGAAATACAGACCGAGGATCTTCCCACACTTCCAGAAATTGTAGAGAAACCAGAAGAAACGAAAAATGAATCTGCACTAGAAATTGTCGATGTCAGTGCTTCAGAGGAAGCTCCTGTTGACAAAAAATTTCTAAAACACACCGATTCTTTCATTATCAATGTTAAGAAACATCAAGCGGAGAAGGAACATTTTGAACAACCGAAATGCATAAGACTATATAGAAAACCGGGGAAGATCTTGTCCAAAAATTTCGTTAAAGGTGGTTCTTACCCTCTAAAGTCGTGTTTAAAAAAGGAAAGTAACTTCTCGAAAAGAAGTAGTAAACATAACAGGCCTGGAAGTCCAATAATAGTTTCGAGTAGTTTTGGTACGAAGAATAGGTTCGGTAAATTTCATCGCTGATAATTAAAATTACATTCCAACATGTATCATTGAAAACAATAAAAATAATAATACTCTTTATTTTGTTACATATTTGCTCGCTGATTACATTCTTGTACTTTTTGCTTAAGAACTTCGTCACAAACTTTTCTGGGTTTGAATGGTAGGTCAAAGTCTCCATGTAAAAAGGTTTGCCCTAACAGAATATTTTCTAATATGTGGGGAACCGCAGCCTTCAGACGAGCAATTTCTAATTCGTTGGTTCTTGGCATATGTGTGGAAGACACGCCTTGAGGTCCTTAAAATAGAGTTATAAGGTTATCGTTTGATCAATATGGCAGTTAAACGGATGTTTTTGTTGTTTGGCACATGTAAATTATAAGTAAAATGCTTGGTTTTGACTTAAAAAATGTTTCGTTTTATTTTGGAAGAAGCCTATGTGGACAATTTTATAGTACTTCTCAAAAGTCACTTCCCTCTCTGTTTTAATTATCCAGTTACATAAACGAGGTGCTAGATTTTGACTTGCAAAAAAGTGGCGTTAAGTTCAAAGTTTTAAATGAAATATTTCAGTTTTAAGTAAACCGTTCCAATTTCCCTTCAGTTCTCAATATGTGCGACAAGTTTTATGTCATGTGGTCAATAACGGTTGACGAGGCGATCTTCAAAATTTTAAAAGAATTGTAATGAATGTTCCAAGTGTTCGTCATTCACCTCTCGAAGCAGAAAAGGCGGATTTCAAACTGTTGCCCAACATTACGTAATATTTCAGGGGTCAACTGAGTACACACTTGCGTTATTCGTTGCCGTAAATCTTGTAAATTTCGTGGTCGTGTACGATTTTACATCGAAAAAAATGCACTGGAGTGAAATCTGGGCCACTTTATGGATCCATCCCTACCTTTCCACCGACAACCATATATCTCATGTAGAAACGCTCTTCCCGTTCGAAAACAATGCAATGGTGTCCCGTCTTGTTGAAAAAATATGCTTTAGTAATTAGCGAATTGATCATTAAGATGCTCCACACAGAGTGGAAACGTTAAAATATCATTTCTTTGCTGAGGTTGAATCTCAAATAACGGAAATCGAATAATCAAATGTTCATTCGGCTCAAAGTATCTAAGAAAAACTTAGAACCAGCGATTCCATGGAAAGTTTAACTGGAATATTTGGGCTACTTGAATCGGAAAAAAGCCTATTTGATTCACTTAAAGTATTTTTTCCGATGAAAAAATTCGATTAATTTACCAAGTACCTACATGGAAGATGAATATAAAAATTTCAAATACTAATGGATATGGAGCGAGTAATATTAGACACTTTTTGACTCACAAAAATACCATCAATTGTGTCCTTATAATTCTAGGAAAGCTGAAAAATCCTTTGGTCCTATAATGTAGGTAAGTACTGCAATATAACATCTCTCCACAACAAATTTAGCGATTTATCTGTGCATGTTCAACTTTAGAAGGATTATAACTGTACTCTATATTGTTTTGTTGTAATGGTCTTTGGTCATAACACGCTTGCTCTCTGGTCTGTATTTTAATAATCGGTAATAATGTAGCCCCTGAGGATTCTTCTCCAGACGTCGACTTTTGTCACGAACTGAGTCTGCCTTTCTCTACTTTTCGCTTCATAGTTGCTACAGAAACATCACATGCTAAAGCTACAGTTCAAAGGGATTGCGCAGGGTTCAATACCTGAAATTTCAACCTTTTCTGATAATCTAGGTCTCTCAACGCTACTTATTTTTCTAAATATGTCTAATATTATCTAGTTCTCAGAGATGCGTTTGACATTCAAGATTTTCAGAATAACTGACTGCCCATGCAAATGTTCACTTGCTTCCGTGTGGAACACTACGGCACCTACGCCTTTTTAAGTAGAATATTTATATCATGTTAGTCTAAATTGTGAGAAAATATGATATGCCTTGAAGACAACATATTTCAAAAGTACAGAGTTGGGAGAAAGGAATTATTTCAAAAATTTGATCTGTTGTAGTTTCTAACTTTATGTGATTTGAACCTTTGAACTTACGAAAAATAACACCAACAAGTTTTCAAATGGATCATGTGAAACCTCCCACCCATTTTAAAATTTTTAAGTGAATGTATCTTGTTGCATCATTTGAAGTATGAAGGGAATGATTTAAACAAAAATGAATCGCATTCGACGCCACAGCCCCCAACTATTGTCACTTGTTAAATTTGTTGTTCACAGTTCATGCTAAGATTTTAAATTCTTCATGGTTGTAATATCGTTTAATTATAATCGTATAAATGGTCCTATAAAAACACGTGGTGGAAATTTACTTATTCAGGTTCAGCTTATTTTTTATAACAGTGGTACCTAAAAATTCTGGATATTTTTATACAAGTTATTACATTATCCAAACTTCATAACGTCTCTAACACTTTAAAATAGTTTATTCACGGCATTGAAACCATTCTCAAACGTTGATCCATTTTGCGAGAAAGAACCGTAAAAATTACCATATATCTGTTAAATTATATTACTGTGGACTCTAAATGACAGGGGTATTTCATGTTTATGTTGTCTTCTATTTACGAGTATGTACTATTTACCTATATCCTAATTATTATTTTCTCACAGTTTGAATTTGAACATTTATTCTCGAATTATTATTTTGACTTTGGTTTGCTACGTGTACTTCATTTGTGCTTTGTTTTATGTGCTGTGTGAATTCTTTGAATCTATGATGTAATCTTGATGAGCTCGTTTTTTACTTAACCTGTGTAAAGGGATGTCGACATGGAGAGCTTTTTGATTTGTTCTTAACTAAGCACGTGCCGGACCTCCGTTAATTAACAATAATAAAATGTCCATCGATCAATTGCAGCTATGGTAATAGGAGGGATTTATTTATTAGTTATCTCAAAAACTTTTTTTAAATATCATTCCAACTAGGGTACCTACTCCCTCGTGGAATGAGCAGGGCGCTGGTAATCAGTTTGCGAGGCGCAGTGGATTATTCAGTCAATTATTCAACATGCCTTGTCCAGCGAGGGTGTGTGTGTTCTGAATCTCGAACGCAACTCTGAAAAGTGACGAAAGCTCGATCGCCTTGGTCAGAGTCATCGCATCTCGTTTTGTTTATACTTAAATTTGTGGCAGATTTTCCTTCTCCGCAATGGAGAAATAAATAATATTTAAATTGTGAAAACTTTTTCCCAAACCAAAATCAATCATCTTATGGTGAGTAGTTTAATAATGCCAAATTTCTTCGTAGTCATTCAAAAAATCAAAGGGAAGATGACTTATAAGAACTCCTGTATATAGCTACACAAAATAGAAGTTTGAAGCTAGTGGTCAAAACTAATGACAACTGAACATACTCATATTACCTAATTGAACGATAGAAGTCATATAAGGCAGCAAATCTCCAATGTGGCCAGTCTGGGCCACGTAAGCACACTCTACACAGTTTCGTTCACCTCTGAACGCCTTAAGAAGTAAATTTATAAATCTGGTAATCGCTAGGGCATTAGAGTAACACATGGGACTGCCCTTAGTTAATAAAGTTTCCTCAGCGTTTGCTATTTCTTCTTGTAATTGTGCATACACTTTCTGAAGCAGGACTTAAGAAAACTATAATATATATCTCTTTTTAAAGTCATACGGAATTATACTCCAATTTAGGTCTTGCTTGCGATATGACAGGTACTGTAGACACTGGACTCATTCCACCAATTATGGGACAGTACAGACATCCCGGATCTACTTTTAAATGCTCAGCTATCATAGTACTGGCAATTACTGAAAAAGGTGTCGTTACTCCAATAATTTTTCGCGGATCATACGTTTCAGTTTTTTTATATTCCTATAAATTTGTATTTGAAATAAAATGTATAAAATAAAAATAAATCGATAAACACAAACTTCTGTCACCATTGGGACTAAAGCTTCAACTGGTGGTTTCGCTATACAAAATATAGCTGCTGGGTTAAATTCAGACAGGAAAATGGCAGCATTTCTAACATTGTCAATATTTTTGGCAAACAGTTCTTTTTGGGTTTGTCCAGATTTACATTGACAGTCACCAGTAGATATAACGATGTGTGCTCCCTTCACATAATAATTGTAAGAATGTACAGAATGTTGAAAATGTTACCTTTATAGCGTCTTTCATTGCTCGACAACTAAATGAACGTATGCAAGTACGTGTATCAATGGAGTTCAGATCTTCGGCCAGTCCTAAGGTGTTTTCTTGTTCATCATATACTCTTAGCTCTTTAACAAGCGGATGCTGCTTTAATAGGAAAGCAAGGTTACTACCAACGGTACTTAACGAATCCAAAATAGTAACAATGGGTTCAGCGGGCGGTGGTAGACAGATTGGTGTCGAGAACCGACGCCCAAGAACTTTTGTTAAGGTGTAACACGTAATTTTTGATCTACACAAAATCATTTTGACGAAAATTTTGATATGACAGCAATAACAAATTTTAATAGATGTGGATTTGTTTAAGGTAATATTGTTGATTATGCAACCACTGATACTGTCAACACTAAAACCAGAGTAAAACCGACCTTTATGTGGGTTTGCAGAAACTTTCTCCTGGATTATAAATGCGCAGTTAGCAAAAAAGTAAAAAACAACAGCAGTACAAGTTTTTTGTCAAATGATTCATAATTGGTCGTAATTAGTTCATGTAAATGAACAAATAGTAAAATTAAAACTCAATAATAACAACCTTCAAGATTCATTAGAGACATGTATTAAACTCTAGAGGAAAAAGTACTGCCATTTTCCACTCACGTTAACCTGGGCCACCCTGGGCCTGTCTAATTTGCAGGCCACTGTTGACCTTGCGATCTTGCAGAGTGACGTATTGAAATACTTAAACTGCGTCCTAATTTTTGTATTTGTTTATTTTTCTAGTAGAGAAGTGTTGACAAAACAATATTGTAGACTTTTAGCCTTTAAAATACTCCAATTGAGTTGAAATTTGGCATTAGCTTATAAGTTTACACAAAAAGTGTCGACGCAAAATTTCGGTCTATTGGGATACTTTTAAGTCCCAGTCTGTAAGGTTATTTTAGAAGTGGTTTTTAAAGGTTCCTTCAAAAAGCTTAAATTTAGTATTAACATTTATAAAGTAAATAAATGCCAAATATGTAACCTATATAAGCATTTTTATGTTCCAGTTTGCAAGATTATTTTAGGGGTTCTTTCAAATAGTCTAAAAATTTGTTATCAGCATTTCTGGTGTGGACAAATAACAAATACTAAGTTGGGACGCCAGATCAACAGTGATTTGCAAATTACAAACGCCTTGTTAACCTTCTCAAATTTTTAAATAATTATCACTTCAATTTCATTTCTCGCAATGAGAATTTTAACAAACAAACATATTTGAATCAATTCCTTTATTAAAACAGATAAGATATTAAAACATACTCATTATTACCTAAAGTTACTAGGTAGTGCTGACATGTATTTAGTTTCCTTAAAAAGTTTTCTGGATAAAAATAAAGACTCCATTTTTCACAATTACAATTTAATAGCATCTGCTAGTGAGCATGACAACCCTGTACCATCAGGCTCGACTTGCAAAGAAGTGATCTTTCCATTCTCTACAACCATGGAGTACCTCTTGCTCCTGACACCTCCCAAAGGAGCAATATCGACAGTCAAATCAAGTGCTTTTGTAAAGGCGGCTGCTGGGTCTGCCAAGAGTCGTACTTTACCAGAAGTATTTTGATCTTTAGCCCATGCAGACATCACAAAGGGGTCGTTAACAGATACGCAAACAATTTCATTGACTCCCTGACTTTTCAATTGATCAGCTTTCTGAACGTAGCCAGGTAGATGAGTCTATAATTATGATTTGTATAATCAATGAAGGTTGTGGTTAATGCAAAGTATTGATTCATGGTAATTCAAGGTTAGCTTACCTTCGAGCATCCTGGAGTGAAAGCACCAGGGACGGCAAAAATGATAATTTTCTTCCCGGCTGAGAGCTCAGCTAAATTGACTTTGTTCGTAGGAAGGTCTTCATAGAGATCAACACTTGGAATAGAATCACCAACCTAAAGAAATCAGTTTTGAAAATTATTATAAAATCAAATAGCATGACATGGTGTAGTGACTTAATTAAAAACAAACATGATCGTTTGACTTTTTGACATTGATAATTATTACATAATTCTATTATTGAAATGTTGTTTTTACCTGTGCCGGCATGTTGAGTGATGCTGTGGTTTTCAAAGACCTTCGAACTACTTGACTTACCAACGACTTGACAAATACTCTGTGTCTGCTCAATAAACTTCCACTCATTTTATACAAACCGGCTTTTTATTAATTCAAAACAGCAGTGTGCGTGTGTGTGACGAAGATAGCTGATAACCTTGATGTTGATGGTAATCGAATGCGCATGTGCAGTGCATACAATTATTGATAAATATAAGATCAGAGGCGTATCACAACACGGGTCAAAAAGATGTGTTCCCCAAAAGTTTTTCTTACCAAGATATTATTCAGTTGTTTTCACTACTTACGTTTAAAATAATAATATGGAAATTACCGAATGTATTACATTTACATTTATACAACATGGTGTATTGTTAATGATTTCCAAAGTTAATTAACAGTGACAGATAAGAGACATATTACAGTAAATTTATTCACGTCTGTAATTCAAATTTCTGCATGCGCTCTAAAATTTTGACGTAATCTCAGAACTCCGTAAAGTAATGGTCATTTCAAATTTTAATTTGATTTATGCCAACTACCTACCTTAGAAAAAGATACAATTTTGTTAGTATTATTGTATGTTGGATTACAGGTCAGTGACGTAACTACCGGTGTTCCATGTGTTCGCCGGAACACGGGCCCGCTTCTTCAAGGGGCCCGGTCTGGTCACACGAAGATTTTTTTTTTATTAGATTTTTTTATATTATTGCCCAAATTACATCCCGAAATAAAAAATTCGAAAATGTGCGGTAATCCCAGGATCGATGGTTCATTGCTATTTACGATTTTTTTGCTGCTAAGGGCTGGATTTTTGGCGCATCTCAATATCATAGACTCAATAAACTCAGGTTTTAGCGACCGGCACCGACGGTCGAAAATGCATCTGTTTCTAATAAACCTGTCGCAGTGTCGCAATCCCATTGTGGCAAATCTAACACCCCATGTAGTACATTACCAATGTTTATCCGACAAAAGTATGACTAATTTATGGTGCGGGACAACAAAATACTTAAATTTTGTCCTCAGATCTACAGTGAAACTTCATGCTGTAATAAGAGATGAAAAAAAATTCAGTTTCAGTTGTTTTATGAAAACTTTCATATTTTTAAAACTATTTTAATTTTGTACTTGTGGTGCTTTTTTGGAATTATAAAATGTATCTGATGTATGTTACAACTAGTAGAAAAAACTGGACTGCGAAATTATTACAGAATGAATATCTAGTACCTGCACTAGTTTCATTGCAATTTTCACAGCATGTTTCACTTCTTTTACAATACCTCTTTCGGTGGCTTCAGCGGAAAGACCTTTTTCGAAATTAAAAATGACTAAAAAATTTTTAAGAAACACAATGGGCCAATGCAGATTATCTTCACTGAATCTCTCAATTGGAAATCAAATTGCCAAAAGCTTAGATGAGTCAAATTTTGTATCAACTTGTGCCCATTGGAAAGCAAGAAGAAAACAATTTTGAGATTAAAAAAAAATTGGCATTTTTATCTATACTTCTATACTTCTATACTTACTCATATTATAAAGCTGAAGAGTTTGTTTGGTTGAATGCGCTAATCTCAAAAACTACTTATAGGCTATATATAACATCACGCTACAATCAATAGGAGCGAAGTAGAAATGAAAAATTCGGAAAAACGGGAAAATTATTCATCCTTTGACAGCTTCCGTTGTTTAAACGGTTAAAGTTACGTAAAAATCATGTATGATGAAATTGTTCCTTTCTAAAAGTTCTAAAAACAGCATATGTCTATCTTTTAAGGTCAACTCAGGCTTGACCGATTTTTATGAAATTTTTTGTGTATATTCGGTAGATCTGAGAATAGGTCGTGAACAATTTTTTATACCCCTAAATGATAAGGGTGGCCACCAATTTTTTTTTTTTTCGACAAAATTTGTATTTTTATTTTTTTAAGATTTGGCATCAAAAAATACATATAACCCTAAATTTTCACCCTTCTACCACTAACCCCCATTTTTTAATAACGATATGTGTATCTTTGCTTTCATCCACAGATGCGCAGTAGGGTTGCAAGATGGCTATTGAATATAATCATTGTCGTAGGATAAATTTTTATGTATAATTTATAATTTAATTTAATTATATTAACATGTATTTATTTTAATTTAATTTTTTATTTAACTACCAAAATATTCACTAGAAATGCCAAAACAACGTTTGTTTGGTCGGCTACTTTCTAATATGTATAATTGTATATGTTTTAATTCAGTGTTTCAGGTAGAATGATTTTATTAAAACGTAAGCCCTAATTGCAATCTACTCATACTTTACTCATTATACTCGTGATTTTAAATATTTTTATTTCGCTGTTCATTAGGGGCCCCACAGAGTTGTAGAACACAGGCCCGCAGTTTGATTGTTACGCCACTGTTACAGGTGTGTGAATTCATTCACAGACCAACAATGAATTGTTATCATAAGTCAACAGCAAGCAATGACTGCTTTATCCAGATAGGGACTGTTAAGCAATTTCGAAAATAAAGAATATTATATGCATTAAACAGTGGAAAGAATCGTAGGCGAACAACTAAATAAAATCTTTCTAAATATGTCAAAAATATAGTACATCACTAGGCAATAAAAACAGGACAGAGAATGATGATCTTGTAAACCAAAAACATTATCTACTGAGAAGATTAAAACAGTAGCTACTATCAAAGTGTCCTGTGTGGCAACTTTTTAAGAAAATTAGTGGCTAAAAATTAATCCAGTTTTGCATTTCGCACTCCTTCATTTTTTTTTATTTCGACAACGCATGGCTAAATCCATAACATAAAACATCTAGAAGTATTAATACCGCAGTAGAACTGTTCAAACAAGTCACACAGTGACTAATGCTGGGGGTTTTTTATATCTTATATAATGTATTATTCTATTAATGCTTGGCAACGGTCTTTCTTCTTCAGAAAATAAAAATTTTGTAATCTATATTACATATAATTAATGTTTCACTTAAATAAGTTAGAGCAAGATTTTCATCGATGCAGTCATATGCATCCTATTCGGCTACGTAGGTAAATACTGGGTGACTATTAATGATTGAAGCAAATTTTTGCTTTGGTAATTTTGAATTACTGATATCCATGCTCTACGTCTGTTCACAGTTCAATTTTGACATGAACATGCCTAACACACGTGCTGATTGGTTGAGAATAGAGCAGCTATCATAAATGTCACTTTGACACTTTCTGTTCGACCAGCAGTGTAAACAAATCCACTGGTAGGTAATAGTTATTTACGTGGCAAGCTTAGTAAATTAGCCTTTACGGGCGAGCCGGAATGTTTGCAGGGCGAGCGACGTAGGAGCGAGCCCTGTAATCCGGTGAGCCCCAGTAAAGGCTAGTTGCAAGCGAGCCGCGTACAACGTTTTACTTCCTCTTGCTGAAAATCCTGAAAATGAACAACTTTGGCATCTCTAGAAATTTTACTTGAAATTACAGTCATGGAAATTATAGTTATTTTTCATAGTTTGCTCTGGTAACTATGGAAAATTGAATTGTTTGAAAATAACGGGACTGTCAATTTGTAAATTCGATTAATAATTTAAATAGTTTAATTTTGTTTCTGAGCTCTGTTAATTGTGGAATTCGATGAAGATGAAGAGTTTGAAGGTGATTTTAACGTTAGTATTAGCACAGTATTAGTGAGATTAAGAAAAAGGCCGACGCAGCGAATGTGTGTTTGATTCCGGTGCTATCATGACAACGTTTTACAGGCACGGTGCCTGTAAAGCTGCCACGGTAACGCTTTACAGGCAGGGTGCGTGTAAAGGCTAATTTACCGAGTTAGTTCAGACGACAGTAAACGAGCTTTAACAAGACAAGACGAAGTAAACATTTTGAGAGCCACCCATAAGATTTTGATATTAATGTGATACAGATAATTTTAAATTAATAGAAGGTACAACATTAGCTGGTAGGTACGTGATTCTAATTGTGCCCTTAGATCATATAATAAATAGATACCACCACGCCGTGTTCTTTCCCTAGGACAGCCTGTGACGACATCCTCCTGTCACACATCTCTCTCGTGCATGGAGGGATTACAATGAAGCTATCCTTGCCTGATCACTATTTGAATTTTGCGCGCCTAAATTTTAGGAAGTATGTCTGAACCCGTGGTCTGAACTAACTTCGGAAGAAAGATGTTGACAGCTTGATTTTATAAATAATTCACAGTAGATAACGGAAAGGAATAGTAAATTATTGGGCAGCAATTGTGATCCTTTATGACTACATCACTTAAAATAGGATCTTTGTTCTAAATTCTAAAATTGTTTTTTGTACAACAACTCGAAAGAGAGGTTAGAAGAAACATCTGTCAAAAGCGATTTGTTGCGCTGGTGCGGTACAAGGATGGAAGTGAAATAGACATATACAGATGAAATGCATATAACAAAGATGAAGATGTGGTGATCACACAAGGATAGCATTATACTACTCCCCTTGACGTAGAAAACGACAAGAGATAGCTTCATGTCTAGTCACAGCTTTCAGTTTGAGTATTGGTATCTATTTATTATATGATCTAAGATTGTGCCGTAATTTTATTTACAGGAAATATACTACATTAACATTAACTGATATTATAAAACAGTACTAAAATAGAAACAATTGTCGATATGGAAAAAAACAAAGAAAATTGATTGGAAGTTGGTTGTTTATATGTATATGTACGTTCTGATGCTACTTAAAACACGCGCATTTTACGTGTTGCCTAACACCGTCGGTGACGAAGTGAAAATCATAGTTCCAGTTCAGTTGAAACATCCTGTACACAAGTGAGATTTTGCCACGAACGAGAGCTTTTGAATAACAGGTTAACTAATATTTGAAATTGTAAGTCATAAACACAAAAAGCCATCAGTCTTTACGTTTTTAATACCTATTTTTAAATTTAACAACCAATAAAAAAATCAAACAGTTGATATATTACAAATTCCTATTTTCTTTGTTACAAAACACTGTAATTAGCTTAGGAAGTAAGTAACTTTCAAGCCAAAAAAAAGCCATTCTGCACTCTTGCTTACGAGTAGCTTTTGGCTGAATTTCTACTCATCTCACCACTATAACTTCTTTAACGTTGCGACTTTCCCTATTTTCAGATCGCCACCCATCTCTTACAAATCTGAAATAGTCAACAGACTCTGGTCCAGTGTTAACCAACAACTTTGGTGCTTCTTCATTTGAACTCATATTGGCTATTGAAAGGTTAAAATCAACTGTTGATATATCTGTTTGATTAGTGGTTTGACAATTTGGATTGATCACGTTTGCGTAACTTTGCTGTTTTTCTTTGTTGAATCTCAATAAAAATTATTGGTTTTCTAGTACGTGCGGCGATGATGGGTGACTCATCGTCGGTGACGGTGGCTGGACGGCGTTCGCTAACGAAAAGCCTGGAAGCGGAAGTCGCGAATGGGTGCTCCACACAAGTCTAGAAGCAGTGACGGAGGCGTTTCGAGAAGGAACGCGTGGCTGTTTAAATGGGAACCACCGTCGGGAACAGACAGTGTGGTCCAGACAATGGAAGAAGTAAAATCTAGTCAAATTCATTCCAGTCGGATTTATTTTGTACATAATCGCTCTGTAATTAGTCGTGTAAATTTGAATTACTCAGAAATAAATTGTTGAGTTTTACCCACGCCGATTTTATTCACCGATCAACGTAATAATATTTATAAACTTAAAATAACATGTTATTAGCTACTTCTGGAACCATTTTCTTGTTGTGGCTGGGTTCTAGCGCAATTGGAAAATTCTATGGATGGACAGGTATAATACATAAATGCTTTACAATTTCAAGTTAAATTATTTTTATATCCACTAAATAAATAGGTTGCATATTTTCTAAATGCTCACCACATGGAAAAAGAACTTTTGCTAATGAGTTGGTCTTACTCAGAGGAAGTATACCTTAAAAACTACGTTACTCCCTTACTCTAATCATACTATTACATACCAATTGGTATCAGTCCACTAGTGTTTTCCTGCGTTCCTTTCAACAACCCTGTTATAACTTCAGATAAAGTACCATCACCAATATCATCCGTGCTTTATAAATGATTAATGAGAGTCTTTGCGTGCCCTTCAGATTCAGTTTTAAGGTAATGCTGAATAAAAGGTACCTACTTTGCTTTCAATGATTGTTTAATAGAAAGGTTCTTTTGTTACAGTATTTTAAATTTCAAAACATTGTCTTTTGTTTGTTTGCTTCTTAATAAAGTTTGTTTTTGAGTTACAAATTGTTCACCTGCAACCACAAGCTGAAATGATCATATTTTCATAAACCTTGATTACAGCGTTGCCATATTTATCGTAAAACATTATTGGAAGAGGAGAGTACTTGGTTGGCGCGCAACACAGAGGTTTTCGAATAACCTCTGGAGCAAAGTTAGTGATTCTCACATGGTTGGGTAAATTGTCGTCATTTCTATAACACGTACCATAACAATTACGAGCATTATAACGTGAAGGAGCTATTATAAATTTCATCCAATTTAATTTTTCAAATTCGATGTGTAAGTCATGTCTTCGACACAGGCTGCTGTGTAAGTCGCTTTCATTATGTCGGAAGAATCCTATAATTAAAAATTGTAGTTTTTGTGAAAAAAAAAAGGTTGATGTTACCGTTATTTGATGATTCTGATTTTAAAATCAAAAACGTTCTCAAAATGTCTTTACTAGTTTCCTTAAAAATACTAAACTGCTCCTCATTTGGTTTAGAAATTGTAATAAATAACGAAAGATCTGTTTTGTTTTTAAACCAGTTGACGAGAGCATTCGTTAATTTAAATATCTATAACAAATGCAACCATTAAAGTTTTATAAAAGCAAGGGTTTTCATTTACCTGCCATCCGCTTTCTGCTTGATAAATGTAAATCACGTTTAATAGTTTGTGCGCGTCTGGATTAACCAAAGTGGTTTCGTTGATATACTCGTTTTCCAGTTGATAAAGTCGTAGTATTAAAGACTTCTGCAACAGGTTTTTCTCAACTTTGTGGAAAAAATGTAATTCCACTTCAGAAATATTTTCAGTTATGTCTACATTGCTGATGTTATATTTAATGATACTTGAATTTTGCGGTTTAGTATTGAAAAGGAACCGTATCGGACTTGTTACGTTTTTTGAAAACATTTCATAATATTTACTGATGTAAGTGGGTAGTTTTGGTCTAGTGACGTTTTTCCAGTTGTAGTCCCACTCTGGGTCCAAAAGTGGATGAGTCAGAATTTCCGTTAACTAGAAATTGACAGTATCAATTACCATTTGTCCATAATAACACACCATATCCAACTTACAGCCTTTTTTCTCGAAACATTATTTCGTAATTCACTCAACTGAATTCCTGACTGATATCCATGAGTAGCATTGTAGGCATTCAAACGACTGCGAATTACATATTCGTTGCTAGTTTTATTTAAACTGAAATAATAAGTTTTGGCCTCACATTCCAAATTTATAACTAGAAAACAAAGAGTACAAAAAGCGGCTTTTATTGACCACATTTTAACTACAAATGTGAGTGATGTAATTTAAAAATTAAGTCCCATTAGATACGCCCAGGCAGCAAGGGAAGTTGTAAATTCTTTAATCTGAGAAGTAATTTGAAAAATAACCCGTTTTGTGTTGATTGTGATTGTGAGATTAACTAGCGGCATGAAACTACAAACCGCGCATTTTTTTTTAAACTGACCTAGTCAAGCATGTAGTAAGGTTATGTTTACAATTATAGAAAGAACACTACAACAGTACCTAGTAAAATTTTATTGGTATTTCAAAGTTAATCATGAAGGTTGGACCCACAAAATCACAAATCACAAATTCAATGCAACCCTGGATGTTTCTAGCCCACTATACAGTGGCGGCACGCTCCTTTTATTGGCGTTATTGTCCCCCTGCATTGTCCGAGAATCCCTCAAAGTAACAGTTGTAAAATTTTACTAGGTACTGTTGTAGTGTTCTTTCTTTAAGTGAATTTATTTGTATTAGGAATATATAAAGTATAAATCCCTTTTTGAACCTCTGTAATGTTACAGAGCCCCCATAAAAATGCAGTTTAGTTTAAATGAAATGGAAAATATTAAAATGCGTACGTATTTAATATATAAATTGAGTGGTTCTTTATTTTCTTTCATCAAAGTATTTTCTAATCTTGTTCAACAACGAAATATCAAACAATGTTTAAAAGAGCAAACTTTTTTTACGAATAAAATAATTTTAGATAAATATTTTTGTTAATTTTGTAATATTCATATTAGAAATATAGTTTGATTCTTCCTCTTTCTATAAAATAAAGTAGCAAGTAGATTTTTAAGGAGGACCAATCAACGATCGCTATTTCTCAGCCATCTCAGCATAGCAACAGCGTCATAAAACTGTTGATCAGAACAAACCAGAGTCAACTTTCTTTCAACCTGACAATATTTAAGGCACCACTCTGTATATTGATTCTGACTGTTGAATGTCATAAATTCGCTTTTGTCGCTAACATAGAAATTTCATTGGCGCATTTTTTATTAAAGAACCGTCGGTTATGAATAATAAATGATTATAATCGTATTTGCGTTGCCAGTTGCCACGGCTTTCACAACGTATCTATCGATCACTAATTTTGTCGTAATTCATATTTTGGCGGGAGACAAATTTGGTAGTGACGCCACTCGTGGACCAATCACAGTACGTCCTGGCCCGGGAAGTGAGTTTATTTTTATACAGCGCTACGTGATTGGTCGTTCGCAGCTAGATGGTTTGTCAATTTTGTCCGGCTTCGCATTTAAGACGCAAACGCCAAAGCAGCCTTCGATTAGATTGCACTGTGTATTAAAAAATCACCGTAAATCTCCGTTGACCGACGCTTCGAATTTGGGTAACTAATTGTAAAAATAGTATCTGCGACAGCGCAATCACCGTATTTATAATTTCTTGTAACCAAATCGCCGTTTTGGCTGCGAATCTCGTCAGTACAGTAATCTTAAACCGACGCCCTGCCATACCCGACATTTTGTTTTTGATTTGCTTTGCAATACGAACACAGTGCGTCAACACCACGAATTGGGTACCCCGCAAAACAATCGCCGTTATTTAGTTAAGTATTCTTCCAACTTAGCGAAATGCATCATCCGCACACAGTTGTAAGTTGCACGTTAACCTCCGCTATCGTTTTGACATTGTACCCAAATCGCTTAAAAACGTACGAATTCGCCCAAACGACTGATAATTTGACCTTTTCTACGCAATTCTACGTTCCACAGAAACATGGGCGAACGGGAAGATGAGCGAAGCGCAAGGGTCTACGTCGGGGGGCTCACAGACTCCGTCAAGAAAGAAGACCTCGAAACAGAGTTCGAAAAGTACGGCAAACTGAACTCAGTCTGGGTGGCTTTCAACCCGCCAGGTTTCGCTTTTATCGAGTTTATCAATCACAGCGACGCTGAGACAGCTTGTGATAACCTGAACGGAACTGACTTCTTGGGCTCGAAGCTACGGGTGGAAATAGCAAGAGGAAAGGCCCGCCGGGGGGGCTTCAGGGGCGGCCGCGGCCGCGGAGGACCTCCCTTCCGCGGGGGCGGCTATGGGGGCGACAGAGGATTCAGGGGCAGCCGGGGAGGAAGACCCGGTGGTCGATTTGATCCATACGGAGGAAGACGCAACGACGGGAACAGGTCGTACGGGGGCAGAGATTTTAACAGAAGGAGTGACGGCTTTGGACGCGACAGTTACGGAGGAAGAGGTGGCGGAGGTCGAAGATTTGATAATGATTCAAGATTCAGGTCAAGATCCCCAGCTGGGGCTCCTCAGAGGCATTAGTTCGTAGAGTAAGGTTAAGATTGTATATTTTTTCCTTTTTTTTTACGTATTTTTTAATTATGATGTAATGAAAGACATACATACCTGTAGCGTTAGATCTTGATGCTGAAAAATCGCAATTTAACCTGCACTACATGCGTGTTTCCCGCTGCTCTTGAAAGTACAATTCTTGTAGTGAGTTTATTGAACCGTACATGCAGGTTTGGATTCAAACTCGCCAACGGTTTTTTGTGTTGATCAACGTTTTGAGAACTTTGCCACCCACTATTTGGAGTTGTAAAGTGTAACACTTGATTGTTGTCATGTGTCAAGTTCATAAACTAATAATACTGTATTTTTTTTTATTATTAATTATATTACATTACATTATGGAGTGAAACTTTTGAAATAGAGTTAATAAATTATTTGAAATGTATTGAAAGTATTTTATTTACAAATAGAAATTAAAATAACAGTGTGTTGTACCATTGAAGCAATGTGTTTATATTAATTTAGGCGGGAAGAATGTCTTAGTATTTTACACGTTTGTTAGTTAGGTTATGTGCAGGATGGTACAAATCACGGATAACTGCCATTTTACCAGCAGAAGTACATAGTGGTTATAACAAATATCTAAATTTGCTATCACAAAGGTACAGCATCGACCTGTGTATTATACATTGGCATTTGGCAACGATATTGGGATAGAAATTACCAGTATGTGCCGCCATTTTAGCAAGCGTGAGTTCCAAGTTTGCATTTCATTAGTCTGTAATTTAGTCCAGTCACTTAAAAAAGGGATCAACTGAGAGATAATAAGCTGTTGTTTTTATATATACCTTAATTTTGGCTTTCTAAAAGTTGTCTCAAAAGTCTCATAAAATCTCGTGTCTGCGTCGTAAGTTATTCAAGGTCAAAGGTCAAGAAAACAGTTTTTTGCTATTATCTCGGTTTCTATTGCTCCAATGATGTTAACATGTAGTATCATAAGTGTAAAGCACAAAATTTGGGACAAATTTTGTTTGAAACATTTTTTCATGCGCTCAATCGTTTTTGAGATACAGGGCATCCATACGTACCGTAATGCAATCAACCGTGAATATTTGTGAATACTACCTTGAATTTTGAATAATTTTTATTCTTTACCAATTAATACATTGTATTTAATAATATTTTACATATTTTCAATATATTCATTGAATAATACTTACCTACTTTGTGGAATTAAAAACTCATTTAATGAAATAGTTATTATTATTTTTCCATCATGATTATAACTGGAAGGTCTGGAAACAACGATTCAGGGCACCGAAGATGATGATGACGATGAAACAGAAATTCTCGAACGTCCAGAAGATGACGATGAAGAAGAAAATTAATACTTTTGTTCTTTAAATTATTAAAGATTTATAGATTTTCACTGCAATTCAATTTCAATCGTAACAAATGTACAACTGCTGAATAAAGATAAAATTAAAATATATTAACTCGTTCTACTTCCTTCAAATTTACTTTGAATAAATTAATATATCTTTAAGATATATAATAATATAACAAGCATAATATATTATCTAATATCTAAAAACTTACACATTTTAAAGATAAAGTACTTCATTATTTTTCTACTTAAAATCTACTTTCAATAAGTTAAGATACCTATACAATAAGTATTGCTTCTCTTATTTAAATATGTTTCAGACTAATTATTTACCAAATAGTATGAACACTTTTCTTGATTTAGTATTTTCCAATGAAGTTAATTTTACAACCAAGTATGCAAATACACCTATTGTAAATGAATCTACGAGGTAAGCGCCAAATATTCTCGGCCTGATATATTTGCGATTGCGCGTCGGGAAATTTGTACAACTCATAAAAGACTAGAGGGTCCCCGCAGTATGTGTGTAAAATTTCAAGCCCCACTGCCCATTAGTTTTGATACATTTGAGGAGTAATATTTGAAAAATTATGGACTCATCATGCCTGTTTAAAATTGAAAATCGAACGGCAATAAAATTCTTATCAAAAGATGGAATTGCTCTAAAGGGTATTCAGGACAGGATGGTTTTTGTGTTTGCTGAAGCTTGTCCTTCACATTTTACTAAAAAAAATGATCACAGTTATTTCGCATGGGGTAAGAAACCCTTGAAGACGAACCAATCTTCCAAAAAAATCATGGCCACAATTTTTTGGGACTGTAAAGGCATGTTGTTGATTAATTTTAAAGGATGAAATACCACTGTCAACGCTACATATTATGCTTACTTACTGCATAAATTAGGAGACCGTATTTAGGAAAAAAGGCCGAGAAAATTAACAAGAGGCGTTCGATTGCTTCATGAAAATGCGCTCGTTCATACCGCATGTCGTTCTCAAGCTGCTATAGGGGCCTGTGACTTCGAGTAACTTGATCATCCACCCTACAGTACTGACTTAGCTTCGAACAATTATTAACTGTTCTCTAAGATAAAAAACGACTTGCAGGGAAAACGTTTTGGACGGATAAAGAGGTGCAAACGGTAGTACTACATCATTTTAGTGATAAAGATTCAAATATTTTTTTTAAACGCATAGAGCTGTTAGTTGAACGTAGTTTTGAATGTATTGAATTTAACAGAGATTATGTTGAAATATAAATATTTAATTTTTTTCCATCAGGTCTCTTTCTTTGTTAGGCCGAGAATATTTGGCGCTTACCTCGTATGTTTCACTCAAGCTACATAGTCCAAATTAATTGTTATGCCAAATTTCGAAATCTTGAGATAGAAGAAATTTATTTTGACTTTAACAATGCAAATTTTGAAGAAATAAATTATCGGCTTAATCTATTTAATTGGGAAACACTCATTTTATCTCAAGATTTAGATTAAGCGGTGAACACATTTTACTGTATAATATACGATATAATTCAAGATATGGTCCCTGTAAAGAAATTCCGATCTTTCTAATACCCTAAGTGGTTTTCTGGAGAATTGAAAAAACTTATTCGACAGAAAAAACAACTACATACCAAATATAAGGAAACAGGTCACTGTAATGATTATTTTAAATTCTCACAAATCAGAGACTTTGTAAAGATAAAACACAAGAATGTTATGATGAGTTTATACGTAGAACCGAACAAGACATAAATTCTGATCCCAAACTATGTATATATTTTGGAAGTAATGGAGAAATAAAAACAATGTCAATAGTTATCCCAATACGATGAAATATAATGAAACGTCGTCTTGCGAACCAAATGAAGTTGGCAATTTATTTGCACGCTATTTTCAAACAGTTTACAGAGATCCATCCAAAAGTATTGACCTGAACAAAGTACAGATATCTGGTAAAACAAATTTTAATTTCAGTTTAGTAACTATGGGAGAAGTATTTAATGGAATCTTAGCCTTGAAACCTTCGGGTAGTGCAGGTCCGGATGGGATTCCAACACAATTTTTAATACCGTGTGTGTTTAGCCTATGTAAGCCCATTCAATATTTATTCAATTTATCCATTTCCTCTGGTAAATTTCCTGATTTTTGGAAAACAAGTTACTTGATACCAATTTACAAATCTGGTGACAAGGAGCTTATAACAAACTATAGGGGGATTTGCAATCAGTCTGTGTTACCAAAACTTCTAGATCGATTAATTGCTGAGCAGTTAAAAGTAGTATGTAAACAGATAATCGTCGATGAACAACATGGATTCTGTCAAGGCAGATCAACTCCAACAAATCTACTTATTTACCAAAACTATATTGTAAGCAGTCTTGAGGGGGGTAATCAAGTTGATTTGGTCTATGAAGATTTTTCAAAAGCGTTGGATAGGGTTAATCATCAAATTTTAATATATAAACTCAATGCAATGAATTTTGATGATAGGTTTGTTAAGTGGGTAGAAAGCTTCAATACAACTCGTTCTCAACTAGTAAAAATCGGCAAATTCCTCTCAAAGGCAGTTATTGTAAAATCCGGAGTTCCTCAGGGGTCCCATTGTGGGCCTCTTTTATTTAATCTCTTTATAAATGATATAGGCAATTCGTTAAAATATTCGAGAATACTTCTATTTGCAGATGACTTGAAAATATTTAGGAGTATATCTTCGGTACTGGACTGTTCGCTTCTCCAGAGTGATCTCCTAAAGGTTGAAAATTGTTGCAAATGGAACGATATGGAAACAAATTTTGACAAGTGTTATAAAATCTCTTTTTATAGGACTAAACATAGCATTGTTTTTTCATATAAAATCAATCAGATACCGGTAAAGGTGGTTTCGGAAATTCGTGATTTGTGTATTATAATGGACTCCAAACTGTGTTTTGTTCCACATATACAGTACATTGTTAGTAAGGCTTACAGAATGCTTGGATTGATTAATAGATCATTGAAATTATTCTCCGTCAATTCGTATAAATTAGTATATAGCTCCATTGTAAGGTCTCATTTAGAATATGCAAGTGTGGTATGGTCGCCTATGTATATGACCCATATCAAAAGTTTGGAAAAGGTTCAAAATTCGTTTCTACGCACTTGTGCATGGAAATTAGGGTACACAAGAGAAGAATATACTTACCAGAATATAAGGGACATACTAAATTTAAGCACTCTTGAAAGCAGAAGATTACATACTGACCTTATTTATGTTTTTAGTTTATTTAATGGTTATATCAGCTGTTCAGAACTGTTAGCACTTTTTAGTTTAAACTGCCCCACAAGACAGATGAGAAGCAATCCAACTTTTCACACGAAGCTGCATCGTACGAATTATGGATTTTTTTCTCCAATAGCTAGATTAACTCGGGAAGTTAATGCACATGATGTGGAAATTTTTGGTCCGTCCTTATGACAATTTAAATCTAGCATTGAGAATTTAGTTATTTAATGTATGTAATAATGTAATTTGAGTTTAATTTTAAGTTTATTTAATCTGATTCACCTACATCAGCACTAATTATTGTAATGTGTACTAAAGGGGTCTCCCGTGAATAAATTTATTTATTTATTTATTTATAAGTATTTCATTTAAAGTTTTTAATTACACAAAGTAGGTAAGTATCAGTGGCGGCTCCTCAGAGGAGGCAGGGGAGGCTGAGCCTCCTCTGTTTTTTGGAGCTGAGCTTCCTCTAATTTTTTTCGATGAAAGAATTTATATTTTTGTAGACATTTGTTATTTTTCAGAATATTTTGCTGGATTTCATTTACTTTCATCATATATCAGGTTAAAATGTCGCAAAAATTTATATTTACGCCCTCACAATCATAATTCACATTCACACCACTCCGCGTTTGGTTTCAGCGGCAGAGGCTTGTTAGCCGCTAGCCTCCGCCGAGAATGCATCTTGCTATTGAGACCGTAGACCTTGACGCATCGTCAGTCTGTATTGCATTGGCTAAAACGTTCATCGGACTGCCGCTCCAAGCCGCTAGCCTCCGGCCAGTTCATCTCTTTTCAGATCAAGTCGTACAGATAACTTTATCTCTTTCTTATTAGTTGGCGCAATCGGGTGTAAGTAGGAAAAACTTTGAGGTGGTTTCGCGAGCTCCCTGTTCAGTGATGGTGATGTTTAGGCTTTACGTAGGTAAGGGTACAAAAGGGGAGACCAACACCATCACTCCCATTAATTGTATTGACAGTTACAATTAGAAATAAAACAGAGCATTTCATGAAAATAATTATAATAAAACTAAATAGTTAACGGCTTCGGTTTTAAGAAACAAATTATACTGTTGGAATTGTGTATTATTTATAAGTGATAAATCTTCCGTTTGGGGTAAAACAGGCTAAAATAATTTACAAAATTTGTCACGAGCTATAGAAAGGCATGAAAAATCATAGGACCACATATTTTCTTCGATTAAATTAGAAATGCTTGGTAAACAAAACAATGCCAATCATTTAGATTCGGCTCATAAAAGGGAGAACTATTACGAGAAAGTTGGTGAAAATTGGGCAATTTTGAAAAGACTAATCGATGCAAAAGTTTATTTATCTATCAACGCACGAGTGTTCTTTTCGTGGGCATGACAAAAAAAATATTCAGATAATGAAAGATATAAAAAGTAGTGCTTTTCAAATTTGAGCCTCCTCTGAAGAAAACTTCACGAGCCGCCACTGGTAAGTATCATTAAATGAATGTATTGAAAATATGCAAAATGTTATTAAATGCAATGTATTAACTGATAAATAATACAAATTATTCAAAATTCAAGGTAGTATTCAGATATTCACGGTTGATTGCATTACAGTACGTATAGACGAACGCTGCGCGCTCACTGTCCTCTATCTCAAAAACGATTGAGCGCATGAAAAAATGTTTCAAATAAAATTTGTCCCAAATTTTGTGCTCTACAATTATGGTAATAAATGTTAACATCATTGGAGCAATAGCAACCGAGATAATCGCAAAAAATTGTTTTTCTTGACTTTTGACCTTGAGTAACTTACGACGCAGACACGAGATTTTATGAGACTTTTGAGATAACTTTTAGAACGCCAAAATGAAGGTATATACGAAAATGTAGCTGATTATCTCTCATTCCGAGGTTGATTGCTAATTTGACTGGACTAATTGCCATATTTTGCGTAAGTAATAATAAAGTACAAATTTTCAGATAGTAAAAAAAAAAAACGACTAAGGAGCTTTTCTACTTAACATATAATTAATGATTAAATTATCAATTGCTTGTCGACTAGTATATCAGATTCAATTGTATTGTATAGGTTCAAAAAATTCGCGCACCATTGTTGAGTAAATTTTACAGCTAGAATTACTTTACAACTCGACAGTTTGGTTTTAGGACAACTCAACAGTGATTACACTGTAACTTTAGTAAGTAAATGATGTAAGCAAGCAGAGAGGTTTTTATGGGATGAAAACCTGTAAGTTGGAACTTTTTGATATACTTTATTTAAAACGATAAACACGTGTGGTAACAACTACTGTGACGAACCAACAACTCGAGACTAATTTTCAACTGACTTGAAGTATCGATGATAGGTTTTTTTTGTTGTTGATGGTGAGGGGGCCCTATTATAATATATAGATCCGCGTACGGAAACCTGGTTTGTTGCGTGCTACCCCCATAGTGTCGAGTCCTACAGGACGCCTGTGTATTTGATGAAGCCCAGGATACAATTTGAAGCGCTGCTTGAATCTCGTGCACTCGTTGAGTGTGTTCCTTTGGGCACTTTTAGGAACTGATACCACACCTACAAACACCCCCACAGTGGTCTGGCTTGCATTGCATTGACACTTTACTACCCACGCATTCAATTAAAGTAAAAGTTTCTGCTTGAGAGACATTGGTGTGCTTACCCAGTGTTATCGAGACATTGAGATTTCCCTTATTAGAGTATCAATAACATATAATGAAAAAATATAAGAAATGTGAGTGCCCGCGTGCTTAAATTCTTTGCTTACAGAGCAATTGGGTCAAGTTGACAAGCATGAGAACAAAGAATTTAGAGCTATTAAATCTACATTAGCTTCGAAGATTATTTACATAACTTTCAGAATATTTGCTCACATTACCTTAATGAGTGGGAATAATAAAATGATTTAGAAAATATGTGAACTGGACTTGAGATACCAAATGGGAGGTAGTAGGAATGTGAAAGTCTGCGTTGTTGCATTTGAATTTTGGAATCTCCCCCGGTGCACTGCAAGGACATTATTCTTGTACAGTTTTTGTCAGTGACTTAACCATCGTTGGTCTGACGGCGCTGCCGATAAACGCAGATACACAAATACAGACTGTGATAAAAACGAATTTGTAAATACGAAAAACAAACAATTTTATCATTCGCAAAACAGTTGTTCTCTGACTTATTTAGAAAAATAATTTTTATCGTATATATTCAATTTATTGTTAGCAAGTTAATTATATATGTTCATTCTCGAAGCGCCTACTTACTCAAAAAGAACTGAAAAACTTCCAATTACCTACCATAATGATAATACTGATACCGCGCCCTTAACTAGGGTCATAAATTGCTCTCCAGCTCCTCCAAGAAACTAGTTGTTTCAATGGCGTGATGAACAGCTTTTGCCGGGTACTGGGCATTAAACACAAAAATAAGTTAATAAGACATAAGCAAATAGTAAAACATTTTTACTCCCTATATGAACTCATTTTACCAAAACGCACTGCCCTTGATCCTCTGTTGTAGACCGACCGCTCCCAATGTACGGAAAGGGTCATAAATGGCATCGAGCTCTTTTGCCGGTGTTTCTTTAACGTTGGTTCAATGAGGCATGCTCCCTCCTGTAATTCTACTTCCATGGTATAAACAAAGAAAACTGCACACTACCCTTTCATCGGTTAGAAAATATAGCAATCTGATAATTTTACATTTGCCAATTTATTTAGTGCCCTCTAATTTCTTTAAAATACAAATCGATTATCAAATTTATCTCTGATATGCGGAAAATTTTGGACAAAAATCTTTTGTAGTGTTATGGTCCATTTTAGCGTAATCATGGAGGTAGGATGACAGGAGGGAGCGTACCTCATTTGACTAATGTTAAAGAAAGGCCGGCAAAACAGCTCCACGCAACTGCCATTTATGACCCTTTCTGTACCATATCGGGAGCGGTCGCTTGTCAGCAGAGGATTAGAGGCGGTACCATTTGGTTTAAAATAGGTTCGTATGGAGTAAGAATGTCTTCCTATTTGTGTAATCATGGCATAAAAACAAAGATGTTTCTAACAACATAAAAACTGAAGTAAATTTTACTGTTACTGCTTTTGTATTTTATGTGCAGTAGCCGGCAAACGCTTTGCAGCACGCCACTGAAACAATCGGAGAACCTGGAAGAGACATTTATGACCCTGCTCGAAAGAAAGGAATTATGCAAAGAACAAAAACCATAGAAGAAACGATCCTCATATCCTTTGACATAAAAAAGTTATTCCCCTTAGTATCTACTGACCAGTACTACCAAATCATCAAAGAAACATTATATGACTACCCAGTCATTAATTAAACCGTCTCCAACTCTCTTCTCGAACTTCTAAATATCACACTCAAACAAAATTTTTTCAAAGTTAACTACCAGTACTGTAAACCAAACAACAGACTAGCGATGGGCAGCCCTCTTTCACCTCTTCTAGTTGAAACCTTTTTAAACCACATACAAACAAAATATTCTAATCAAATAAGACCTATATAAAAAACATGTCCAACTATAGAAAATATATATAGAATTGTAGACGACATCCTTTGTCTCTTCAAAGGCAACACAACCGAAATAAACAATTTCTTAAGTTACATCAACACTTTACACCCAAATATCGAGTTCACAGTCGAAATACAAAATAATAATTCTATTTCATTCCTTGACCTTCTACTAACTATTAATACACACAGAAAATTCGACTTCGCTATTTACAGAAAACCCGCTAACACAAACCACGTCATCCTGTATCACTCATACCATCCTTTTAACCATAAAATAGCTTTTTACTCTCTCTACCATAGACTACTTTCCATTCCTCTCAATAACTCGATCCCATCTTCCAAATTGCAGCGACTACCGGGTTCTCATATGACATAAATAACATATAGGTAAACAAAAAACATAAATACACAATTCTTAAACAAAAAAACTCTAACACACTCAGATGACCACAACGTAGTATTTTTTGCCGCCTGCTATATATAGAAAACGCCACACCCAAAATACAAAAATACTTTCAGGACTTTCACCAAAATCACACTAAGAACCAAAAAAACCCTACAAACATATTTGTGCCAGGAAATAGATAAAACAAACAAGAAAGAATGCAGCGCAATTGCCACCGTGTCCAAAAATACATAGCTAGGTAGAATCTTTAGATCCATCGATACTACATAGAACTAAAGAACACCTCAACCCTATTAAAAAGAAACACATACCAGACACAACGTCAACTTTCGTACATCACATCTTTACAACCAAACATAAATTTGATACAGAACCCTGAATTCTACACGCATTTAATCCCCACTGGCCAGATTACGTGATTTGTTGGAAAATATGGTTATATGTATTATTATCGGTTCTTGTTAATTTCCATAGAAAACTCTTCTGTTCTGTTGGCTACTTATCGGTATTTGTTTCCATTGTTTCATTATCTTTATTTTTAAAAACAGCCGCTATTAAAACGAACTTTTCGAAACTTAAAACGCCACGAAAAAAGAGAATACCTTAATGCAAAGTGGTCAATTTTGCAATATCATTTGAAAGATTTTTGCCAACCCATCTAATCGAATAAGGCAGTAGTAATAAATTCCATTTTTTGCTGCGTCTTGTGCGAATTTGTCGTGTGTTGTGTGAACTTCATTTAGTGCTTTGAACTAAAATTCTTTGAGTAGTGGTGTTTGTTCAAAGTAATTGAAGAAAAAAAAACGGTACAAATGTTATTTCGATAGCTCTAATGGCGTAAATAACACCCTTGTAGCTCCTGCGCCGCGAGGACGCAAATTCCAGAGGGCGCGGTCCGCACAAGTGAGGACAATATGAAGTATATTTAAAACAGATAAACAACGGGCAATAATTTCTCAGTACTTCTTTAACTTTGACTGTTTATATCTATACTTTGAAAAAATTTGACCATTAGCACATTCATTTCGTATTAATGCTGGCATCAAAGTATGCATTTGTGTTAAAAGACACTGAAATTTGATTCGGCTTTTTTGCTCAGGAAGTAAACATTCTTGCGTGGTTAAATTAAGCACAAAAAGTAAAAAAGAAAATAAGTAATTTTTATCCTCATGCATTAAGTAGCCATTTTACAGGGAATATTATAAAACATTTGCTTGATTTGTTAAAATCTGCTGAACATGATGTTTATTATTTACAAAATACTGAAGTCAACAAACAGATGGAAACTTATAATTTTAAGATCATATATATGTATATATATATTAAGTAATTTTCTTATTACATATGGTATGTACAAAATAAAAACTTTAAACCTATGAACTACTGGTTAAACTAGCCATAAGCAACTCCATTTTATGTAAAAAATTCCTACCTTCCATTTTTTCCAGTCTAACGTCCCTAAACTGCCCACCCAAGTGTTCCCACTTTCTTTCAGTTACTAATCTACTAGGGAAAAAGTCGCTTCTAGGCGAGTGTGCCACAGAAACTTGAATTCCACTTTGTGGTTCACATCTTACAGCAATTATTCTGTCACCTGTAGGTGAAGCTAGCAGACATGAGCTTGCATTACCTAAGGGTTCAACAGCCCCTGTACCTAAATGATTTGAATTAGCTAAAAATTGCCAACCCATTGTTTTGGCCAAAGCTTGAACCGCTAAAATTTGATGTTGATTAATGTGACAAAAAATTAGATCTCTTAATTCTTGTGGCTCATAACTCATGTGCATTACTTTACCATCTCTACAAATACATTTCAAGCTTTTTTCACCTACATGGATGACTAAAGGAGTTCTGCAGAGAGCGTCATAGCCATGAGTGGATATGTTAATTTTCACACAGGACTGAGTTGGGCTGTTTAATGTGTTCCAGTGGGAGCTTATGAGAGGGTCTTTTACTTCTTTTGCTATGGTATCTAAGACGTATTCAGTGCGCAGTCTCATAAAGAAATGCTGGGCTTGTTTAATTATTTGTTCTAGGAGAGTTTCAGATTTTGTCATTTCAAGTAATTCGTATCTATCAGCAGCCATTGGACCTGAAAATCATACCATACACATGTGAAACTTTTAAAGATTATTTTAATACCTGCAAGCATTCGTTTCTTTGAAGGTCCAAGAGGTCCTGTTGCAGGATGGGGAAATGGATGATGTGTATTTCTATGATGTACTTCTCTAAGCAACTGATGGAGTGAGTGTTCAAGTACGTGATCATGATCAGTTTTTGACGTTGCTGCATTTGCGGGCTTTTTATCGCCAGTTGTTGAATGACATAAACCTATTATTAATTGAATTCCTGGAAAAACCTAAAAAAGAAATATTAAAAACTGAATACAAAAATTCATCCTAGTTACCGTGGCCATAATCTGATTTCCGACAACCATGTGAGGAATAGGAGCCTGTAGTTGAACAGCTTCTTTAGCCAGTTGATTAAAAAGTTCCTTACAAAATAAAACATTTTGTGCAGCTTCTAGTTTTTGTTGCCAGTGCATATCAGGATTTGATGCAGGAGGACCAGACCCCAGTAAATTAACATTAACACTGCAAAGATCCTCTTGATCTGAAAAGAGATTTAAAATTTTAGAATAATAACAATCTTACAACTTGCGACTTACCTTTCTGACACAATACTTCAATGTAAGCAACGCCCTGCAATTCTGATGGAATTGATACTCTCAATGCTGAATTAGTTTTACTAGGAGTAGCTCCACCAGGGACAGGGCTGCTTGGTGGACTATTAGTTTTTTCATCATCTTCAGCTTTTGTAACTTCAAAAGTTCCTGTCTGCGTAAACTTAGACCCCGCAGTACGATAACTGAGATCACCAATGATAGTATTGGACACCTTTTTCAATCTCCAGTTTTGTCTTAATCGTAATAATTCAATATGAAAATCAGGAACTGCCCTGTTTCTAGCAGCCTCATTTTGAGAAGTTTTCAGTCTTTCAGCGCCAGTAAGCAAAACACTAGCTGCTCCAGCAAGAGCTTTCTTACGAGCATAAATTTGTACCATTGGCTTGGTCTCGATTGGATCTTGTGGCACTGGGTCAAGAACCATATACCGTTTGTCTTTAGCTATAGCTAACACGTCTGCTAAAACACATACTTCTTGGAAAGCGTTCCGCAGTTTATTTCTTGCGGAATCCCATGGCCACAAACTCGACTGAAAAGCGTCTTTGCTGTCAGAGTCTGACTTGTTATCATCAATTAAATCCCCGGATTCCTTTTTAATGTCAACTTCACCAGTTTTACTGAAGTCTATCTTTTGGGCAAATTTTGCGAGGCTTTCGGATAATGTGAGAGGACTAAAAGAAATTTTTTGGAAAACGAAAATTAAGGTTAGATATAAACTTACGGTTGATATATTTCAGTGCCATCGTAGGTGATTTCTTGTATTTGATTTTCTATGGGTGCTTCCACTGATATATTCACAGAGTATGACATTTTATTAGTTTAAATAAATAAATTACGGTTAAAAACAAACATTCGTTTACAGGTACCGTTGTTTGGTTTGTCAAAATATATTCTGACAACTTATTATTTATTGCTCATTTTTGACAGCTATCGGTAAAGTAGGATTCTTCCATAGTCGATAAATTTAAATTGAAGTGGAACTAAAAGGACTGGAATAAATTCACGTATAAATAAAATTTAACTAGTTATGGCTCATTAGTCATTAGTAACAAAACTTTATTGATCTTGTCACGTACACGCTTCTGACTTGTAACAGATTTTCATAAAAATTTGAGAGTAAAACAAACTAGTAATTCCAGGCTTGTGTTTGGACCTTAAATAACTTCAATAATATTTTGTTTCTAAAAGATAATAGCCTGTTAGCCAAATTGTCCCTGTTACATTCGAGAAGTAAAAAAAAACACGAGGGAAATAAAGCAGGAATAAACAAAAATTCAGACCACGTTGTAGATCAAGGTACACTGACCGAAATTAGAGATAAGATTGATAAAGGGCTTGAAAATGAATTTGAAGGTTGTGGACAACAATGTCACTATATAGAACAGTTATTTATGATAAAAGTGTTAAAAGTGAGATTTTATTTTGTGAGTGTGGAAGTTCGGGGAACGAACGAAGGAAATAAAATCACTTTTAACGTGAACATCATACACTCCTTTTTTACAAACACTGTAAAAAGTAACAGAAACGTTCAATTATTATTAATTTTTGCAAATGAAACGATAAGACATCGGGGTAGACGTGAACAAATTCATAGAAACTGTCAGTTTGTTGTCAGTTGCAAACAAAACGTTGCATACCTATTCCTATATACATAGTTATATGTTTACAAGCTAGAATACTGAAGAAAATGAAGAAAACGATGCAGTATCAGAGGAAATCGAAGAAATAGCTAACATAACTACCCTTGATTTGCTCCCGACGAAGTGGATTTTTATTAATTTTTATGAACAATTTTACTTTGAACATCAGGGTTAAAAGTAGTTCTTGTTAACACCAGTGGCATAAAGTAACACTTTTAACGTTTCATGACAGACGTCAAAAAGCCTGCTTTTAATATTGTTCGTATAAAAATGTTGTTGTCTACAATTGTCAAAAAATGGCAACTTTTAATATTTCATTAAGGATACGCAAGCTCTAGTTAAAAAGAATTAATTTTTTCACTGTTACACGTTACACTGCGGTTTTTTTTTCACTGTTACCCAACGTAATTTTTTAAACCGTAGCGTTTAAACGACACATTTTTAAGTTAGAATATGTAATTTATTAAAAAAACAACAATTTTTGCAAACTAATTTTTATTAACATTAAAAATAATCTGAATACTGAAATAATTATTGCCAGTTTGAACCATTGGTCTGCTAGGCACTATTTAAATTTTCTTCAATATTTTCTTTTCTAATGTTTTCCACAACTTGATCTCTCCTCCGAGTAGAATCTCCGGCAGATGTAGAGGATTGGCTATCAAAGATTTTGTTATAGACCCCAATTTTGTTATTTATACTATCTTCAATGTACCCCTCCGTCACGGTGCTAGATTTCTATCCTCCGTGACGTTTGATAGAAATTAGGTCTCCTCCTGTATTTGCCAAGAAAGTGGCAGAACTGCTTCTGAAGCAATGGCTTGTGTATCTTTTAAAATCTTCTTTTCTTAGCCACTTTGCAATTAGATTCGGTGTTTCCCCTATTTTATTAATACCTACATGTTGATTGAAACATTTGCCATTACTGTATTTATAGAATAAATGCCAACTTGAGGCATGGGGTGGCCGCAGAGCTCTATAAGGTATTTTAGAAATATTTCTATATATCCAGGGTAAGAACTGTAAACGTTCTCTTAGCGTGTGTTTTTGAGTCTGATATTTTGATAACTAACAAAGATCCTACATTTTCAATGTTATCAATTGTCATCTTCACGGCGGCACTGATACGAGGTAAGCGCCAAATATTCTCGGCCTAACCAAGAAAGAGATATGATGCAAAAAAATTAAATATTTTTATTTCAACATAATTTCTGTTAACTTCAATATATTGAAAACTACGTTTAAATAACAGCTCTATCCCTTTAAAAAAATAAACTTAATCTTTATCAATAAAATAATGTAATACTGCCGATTGCACCTTTTTATCCGTCCCAAACGTTTTCTCCGCAAGTCTTTTTTTAACTTAGAGAACAGGTAATAATCGGTCGAAGCTAAGTCAGTACGTCAGTACTGTTGGGTCGGTGATCAAGTTATTCGAAGTCACAGGCTCCTATAGCAGCTTGAGTAGGACGTGCGGTATGAACGGGCGCATTGTCATGACGCAATCGAGCGCCTCTTGTTAATTTTCTCGGCCGTGTTTCCCAAATACGTTTTCGTAATTTATGCAGTAAGGAAGCATAATATGTAGCGCTGACAGTGGTATTTCATTCTTTAAAATCAATCAACAACATGCCTTCAAGTCCCAAAACATTGTGGCCATGATTTTTTTGGAAGATTGGTTCGTCTTCAAGGGTTTCTTACCCCATGCGAAACAATTGTGATCATTTTTTTTAGTAGAATATGAAGGACAAGCTTCAGCAAACACAAAAACCATCCTGTCCTTAATATCCTTTGGAGTAATTCCTTCTTTTGCTAAGAATTTTATTACCGCTTGATGTTCAATTTTAACCAGGTATGATAAGTCCATAATTTTTCAAATTTCACTCTTCAAATGTGTCAAAATTAGTGGACAGTAGTCTGTTGTGAGTTGTAGAAATTTCCCGACGTGCAATCGTAAATATATCAGGCCGAGAATATTTGGCACTTACCTCGTACCTACGATTGGTAGTACCTGCAACAAATATCTATTCTAGATAAGTACAACAGAAAAATTAAACGTTATAATACATGTTTTATCGTCCGCTTCTTTGATTAATTTTATAACAGCTCCTTTTTCTAATACTTTAGATTTTCTTCCTCCATAACCGTCATACTTGCCTTTAGGGTAAGGAATAAGATATGGAAATTTCGTCACATCAATGTTTTCCTTTAGGTACATTTAGGGCACTTTTTAACAATGAGTAGGCGGTTTAAATTTACTACATTTTCCCTCCAAATATGCAAGAAGACTGTTTCTGTTATTTTCATAATCTTTTTTAGATTTTTCGACCAACCTGTTCCTATCGTGTCTTATTGCTCAACAATCAGGTTCATTTCCTAAGTAATAAGTAATATTAAAAACAACTTAAAACTAAAGAAAACTGTAAACATAGATGCTTCCATAATACGAGTAACAATACAACGTGTTTCAAAATGATTTTCATCTAGTCGCCTATGGCTGCAGATTTTCATCAAGGGAAAGATAGGAGTTAAAGCGATTTCAAAGCTAACTATTAGATGAAAATCATTTTGAAATACCCTTTATATTCTACTTGTATCATTACTTACAGAAAAACTAAGACACCAAATAGAAAGCACCTGACATGCCAATCTTTTTGGAGTTTTAACGGTAAATTTCAAAAGGGTAATATATCATGATTCCACAAATCTCCAAGAAATGGTAACGCGTCTTTTTCCAAGTATATGTTCAAATAACCTACCGTTCTGAATTATAGTTAGTAATTTTCACAACGAAAAAAATGTTTTCAATAAATTAATGGCCGCTGATGATCTAATACAAATTTTTTGATTTGAGATAGTGGCTTTATGAATAAACAAATATCTTGATCTTTGAAAGATTACAAGAATTGATGCTATTGTGAAAAAAGGCAATATGTAGTCAAATTTTCAACAACTGTTAACCTATAACCATTTTTTTTTATTTTTTGATGGTGGAACACTAATTATATATAACACATTTACTACAAGGTTTATTTTTACTTGTCATCAAGAAGGTTTCTTTTTAATGATAGATCAATTTAACGGTACAAAGAGAGAATTTGAGTGAGATCGTTGACTGTTATTTAAAATTAAGACGCTGCTATACTGAGTTTATGAAGACAACTCATTAATTTTTGTATTGGGTTAGTGAGGCGACCTATGTGTTTACCCCCACTTGCCGAAAGATCGTACTTTCGTGCTATTTGGGAGAAACCAACCAGTGGACGGAAACAACTACTTCCCGGACAAAAGCCCCTCCGGACGCTGAATTACACCTGTGCAGACAGGCCACACTAACATCTCACTAACACCTGGTTGCTAAGCTTAAGCACATAAGTGAAACACAATGAATGCTAGACAATTTGATGGGATGGGCTGTATTGAGGAGACACAACAGATCGAAACTGCAGTCTACAGCTTCCCAACAGGTTGTTGTCTAGCCTTCAGTGTGATTAAACACTTTGCAATTTTTGTATTATTATTTTTTATTTCGGCCTGGTATTACATAGTACGACGAAACCCGGGGGTGGCGGTGTGGTTGGCATACGTCAGCGCCACGCTCTTTGGACCGACTAGGTGCCGCTGAAGACACGCCTGGCGGGGATTGACGCCGTCTATGGGAACGGTTGCTCGGGCGCCAGCTCCTTCTTTAGAGAGGAAGCGGGATCTCCAGTCGATCTCGTAAGCGGTCGCACGAGATAAAAATTACACAACGGTTAACTTAAAAAGTATTCGACTTTTATTCCCAACTATCAGTTATAAAACTAAATAAGAAAAACTAACTAAAATAACTTAGCAGAAAACAAAAAGGTATGAAGCCCGCTCAAGGTCGTCTTGTAATCATTCTGAGGGCGGCTCCTACCTGGACGGTTCTGCTTTAGTTCTTGGGGAATTGACAACACTGAAACGGGAATGGTACGGGCATGGTATACCGAAAGGGGTGGAGTACTTACTGGACGTGGACGGTGTTTTTTTTTCACACTTTTCCTTTTCAGTTGTCAGAAAATCCCCTGTCCATCGGTAGCCTAATTTATAAAATGTACCTATGTTTCATAAAATATCGTTGAACCGTGTCCAGTTTTAAATCATATGATGTATACCTACAACGGAGACCAAACCAAAATGGCATATTCTGTTGTTTCATCAAATTAATAATATCAGTAAATTGAGATTTACACGCATTATAACAGCTAAGGACTTTGATGCAGATGAAAATAC